ATGTGTCTTAACGTATAAACATAATACGGATTTAAACTCGTCAGCCCATCAAGAGTTCTAATCTTATACACGTCAAACATGTAAATTAAGCTGATCAACTAAACCAGACGTAGAGGTTGTTTGACCTTGTTTTCGCCACTTTGTCATATATGTAGGAAGACTATGAGGAACGCACTTAGTCCGGAGTCCATTCTATGCATAATACTTTCCAAAGTCGAACCCTGGACGTGGTACATTTCCAAACGCTTCGCCAGCATCGTAGTCGGCATCGTCAGTGAGTCTCGCCATTCTTAACACCATAAAACAACTAGTCAGAGACAAGTTTGCCTATCTTTTGACCAAACGTGTGCTAAACAGTTATAGTATCTCCCCTTATGCTCTGGGCTATTCACATTCCCTATATCCTCCTATCACACCTCCACTGCCACATTTTTTTACCGTACCTATTTAGATGTAGTGTGGTGTGCTCCTTTGAGCGGCATTCATGAAAACCCTTCACGCTCCAAGCTGTCGTAATCACCCCCTTCACTCTTGTGCTGGAAATGGTGACCAGAGTCTGCCATATTGTTACGTAGTCCTCCTTCTCTGGGTCGTATCAGTCTTCCTCTTGTCCCGTAGAATCCGTCTGCTATCTGCCTGGTACACGTATTACACTCGACCCCTGCCCCCCCATCTGTGCTACTCGAGGCGTAGTTCGCCCAACCCCTGCACCTGGGTGACTGATTCGAGGCTAAAGCCTCTGAGTAAGTCTCATGGTCACGCCTTTGCTACATAGACCACGTCTTTGGTAGAACTGTCAGCCAACTAGCTCAAGTCTCCGCCGCGTCTATCCTGTTTATATTCCTAATACCAAGTATATGAGTTGCCATGCCTTAGTCTCTTGTGTGCCAACCCACAAATGTTGTGGTACTGCTTGCTTTAAATAGGTTTAATGTTGAACTTGACCTACTTGTCCATGTACACATTTGCCAAAAGAGGTGAGAGTGGAGATCCCATCGATAGTCCAAATATTTGCTCGTAGATACTTTCGTTATATGTAAAATATGTGGTCCTTATTGTCAGGTTGATCAGTCGTGATCCGTTCTGCCTCCAGGATGTCCTCTTCTGGCTCCAAAATCTCCAGCAAGGCGCTCACCGCCTTCTCGCCTGAGATGTTTGTGTACATGAAACTCACCACTGACCCAATGTTCAGGATTCTTTGCAAAAATTCATATGATTTCTTAACAGTATTTGAGTCTGTCATTTACTTTCCTGAGCTTCAAGCAAATGAATTTCGCTAGTTTGTGTATTGCTGCATATTTTTTGTTAACTATTAGTCTTAGAGGATTCCCTCCCTTGTGTATCTTCGGTAATCCGTAGGCTGTCGGTGGCCTTGCGTTATTTTTGATTAAAGATTTCATCATCCATCTGTCAATTTCCCCATTATTATACATTTCCTTGAGTATATTCCTCAGTGTCCAGTTGATCTTCATGATTGGATCCTTCCTTAGTATTTGTTAAGTGTTCCGGACGGCAAGGATACTTTCCATTTTCTCCGTGTACTGTTTCCTGTCCATCACAACCGACGTTCCTCCCTTATCGACCTGAAAAACTATTTCATCATTAATCAAAACAAGTCAAACCCCGACATTTGTGGGTTGGCACACAAGAAACTAGGACGTAGGAAGCGATGGACATGATAATACAGATAGAAACAGGAAAGACGCTGTGGAGACTAAAGCGTGGTCCAACATTGAACCTAATCAAAGCCAGTAGTACCACAAAATTTGTGGACTGGCACACAAGCGACTAGGAAATGGTAAATCATCGACTTGGTATTAGGAATAGAGAGAGGATAACGAGGCGGCGATTGGAGCTAGCTGGCTGACAGTAGGTTTTACACGAGACGTGGTCCATGTAGTAAGGGCATGACCATGAGACTTACTCAGAGGCTTTAGCCTCTAATCAGTCACCCATGTACAGGGGATGGGCGAACTACGCCTTGAGTAGCACGGATGGGTGGGGCAGGGGTCGAGTGTAATACGTGTACCAGGCAGATAGCAGATGGATTCTAC